TTATTGATATTAATTTCAATATAACATATATACATATATATGTATTCATATATATGTGTGTGTGTGTGTGTGAGGGGTGGGGATATGTATACATATATATACATATAAATACCCACACACATGTACGAGTGTATACACACACACACACACACACACACACACATACACACACACACACACACACACACACACACACACATATATATATATATATATATATATATATATATATATATATATATATATGTATATATATATATATATATATATATACATATGTATACGTATATATATACATATATATATATATATATATATATATATATATATATATATATATATACCTATATATATATATATATATATATATATATATATATACATATATATATATATTGTGCATGTGTGTTTGATTCCGTGTGCATATCCGTATGTGTCTGTGGGTGTGCGTGTGAATGTTTGTGTATGTGTGTGTGTGTCCGTGTGCATGTCCGTGTGCGTGTCCGTGTGCATGTCCGTGTGCGTGTCCGTGTGAGTGCCTGTGCCTGTGCAGTAGACAGCCTAAAGCCAGGTGTTTCCTCGCCGCCTGCCCACGTAACCCGAGCGGACCTGGCTACGCTCGCCCCCCTGGTCCAGCGAGTGTCAAAGGGATCACTTTCGCCCTTGTAACGGTTCGCAGGAAGGTCGGGCGTGAGTAGGAAATGACTGGGTTCGACGCACTTATTGCCGTGAGGTAATGAGGGCGGTCCACTGTGCGTGTGCGAGAATGCTACATGCGCGCTTATTATGGACAAATGCACAGTTGCACAAAAACGCACGCAAAAAAAAAAGAAAAAAAGAAAAAAAAATGTTGAAAGCAGTTTTAGGAGCAGTAATATCACTTTACCAGCATTATCATTTTAAATTCATTATCATTATGATTACTAGTATTAGGATGCGTATAAGTATTATCATTAATATTTCCTCATTATTATTGTGATCACCATTATTATTACCATTCTTTGTTATGAGCATTAATATTTTTGCTGTTATTATTATCATTTTTATCATTATCAATATCTTCAACATTACAATCAGTATTATCAGTATTATTGTCATATTCAGTAATAGTATTATCCTTATTATTATGATCAACATTATTATTATCACCACTATAACCATCACCATCATCATCATTTTCATCACCATCACCATCGTCATTACTTCTATCAGTGGCGTAGCCAATGGGAGGGGGGGGAGTGATTTTTCGTCATGGAGGAGGCCGAGGCCACGGCGGATACGGGGGGGGGGTGGGGGTATCGATACTATCACCATTAACATTACATTTCCTTTCTATAGATATCATAATTATTATGATTATCATTATCCAAATGATTACTGTTGTTTGTTTTTTTGTTTTTGTAATTGCTGTTATTATCATAATTATCGAATTCATTATTACTAGTTTGTTATTATCATTATTGTTATCAGTCTTATCATTAGCATTATCATTAATGTTATTATCATTATTACTATTAGTAGTAGTAGTGTTATCATTGTTATTATTATTATTATCATTAATATTATCATTAGTATTATCATTATCATTATTAAGATCATCATCTTTATCATCACTATTTTTGCTTCTGTTATTATTATAATTATTATTATTCAATATCATTGTTATTATCATTATCATTACCATTATCATTACCATTATTAGTATTATCGTTATCATTATATTATCATTATAATTATTATTATTATCATTATTGTTACTATTAACATCTTTGTTATCATTATTATTATCATCATTGTTATAGATATCATTATTATTAGTTTTTGTATTGCCGTTGTTGTTGTTTTTGTTCTTATTACTATTAATTTCATTATCCTAATTTCAATTCTTTATTATCATTATCATTATAACAACCATTTTTTTGTTATTATTATTATTGTTATTACTATTATTGTTATTCTTACTATTATTATTATTATTATTATTATTATTATGTGTAGTCTTTTTTATTGTTTTTGTTATTATTACTATTAATCTCATTATTATCATAATCATAATTCTTCTTTATTATTATTATTATTATCATTATCATTATTGTTATTATTATTATTATTACTATTTTTATTATTGTTACTATTATTATTATTATTATTATTATTATTATCATTATTATCATTATTATTATTATTATTATTATTATTATTATTATTATTATCATTATTATTGTTATTATTATTATTATTATTATTATTATTATTATTATTATTTCCATTACCATTAATATAATCATCATAATTATCATCATTCTTACAGTCATTGTTACAACTCTTTTCTGTATAATTAATCTTATTTTTTTTCATTTGAATATCATTACTATATTTAAATCGTTTATATCTTTATTCATAATCATTTCCATTATTAACATTATGATATCATGTTTATTACCTTATCATAATCATTATCATTATTATTTTCATTTTTATCATTGTTATTATTATTGTT